TGAATTGATTTGAGAAAGAATTGTGCGTTTGATTGATTCAGGTGGTGCTTGTGGTTACGGAAACTTGTACAGCCAAGGTTATGGCGTGAATACCGCGGCGTTGAGCACTGCTTTGTTCAACAACGGTTTAAGCTGCGGAGCTTGCTTCGAGCTCAAGTGCGCTAACGATCCGCAGTGGTGCCATGCCGGCAGTCCGTCGATTTTCATCACCGCCACAAACTTTTGCCCTCCTAACTACGCTCTTCCGAGCGACAATGGAGGCTGGTGCAACCCTCCCCGTCCTCATTTCGACCTCGCAATGCCTATGTTCCTCAAGATCGCCGAGTACAGAGCCGGAATCGTTCCAGTCTCTTTTCGAAGGTAAAAAAGAAGAACTCTCTTTTCTTTTCAGTAGATAACGCCGTCACTTTATTAAACTAGAAAACGAGCCAGATATTTGCCAAACCGCGTGAGTAATCGAGATCTGTGAATGAACTGGAGTAATCTCGACCGTCTGATTTTCACTGTACTGTATTTTGGTACTTCACAGTGAAGTTGGAAAATCGGGTACAGAGTATTACTTTTTCCGTGGAATCTTAGACCTAGTTATCCTGGCTCTGTTTCATGACTTCATCATCCTCGTGCCTCTCTTAAAGGAGAAATTATTGGACGCGATGGCACCCTCGAACATGCCATAGACAAATTATAGAACTCATTTTTTTAATTTAACAGTCATTATTAAGATCATATAAATTTTAGACGCAGCAGTTTCAATGAGTAAATTATAGATGGCATTAGTTTATGGCTCCACAATCAGTTCGAATCCTCCACAACCAGTCCGAATCTCTGCCACTGACTGAAATGGGCAGTTTCACGGAGTAAATTACCCATTTTGTCTTTAGATCAACCCCATCCCCTCCTGCTTTTACATTTTTATTGAAGAAGTTATTCTTTGTCGATTTCCAATGCCCTTCTGCCATTGATCTGCTACTCTTGAAGTTATTATAGTTTCTATACATTGTTCATCAACTTTCTAATCAATTTGCTTTTCGGTTGTTACCTCGTGAAGGCATTCATTCTTGTTTAAAATAAATCAGGAATGTGAGTAATTAGGTTGCCATGCCGGAAACAAAATCGTTGAGATTAATTATTACTGTTTATGAACTCCACAGGGTGCCATGCCGGAAACAGGGAGGAATTAGGTTCACAATCAACGGCTTCCGGTACTTCAACTTGGTACTGATCACAAACGTGGCAGGCGCAGGAGACATCGTGAAGGCGAGCGTGAAAGGCAGCAAAACAGAGTGGATGAGCATGAGCCGAAACTGGGGTCAAAACTGGCAATCAAACGCCGTTTTGGTAGGTCAGTCACTGTCGTTCAGGGTTACATCCAGTGACCGTCGCACCACCACTTCGTGGAACATCGTCCCTTCCAATTGGCAGTTTGGCCAGACCTTCACCGGCAAGAATTTCAGGGTCTGAAAATTTTGAAACCCTTCCCGCTCTTTTTTTTTTCTTCAACAACTTGCTTAGCTTTTTGCTTTTTGCTTCAATCAAATATGGGTGGGGGTAAAGGGTTTCCTTAGAGGGAAGAGAAAGTGCGAGAAAAAATGAGAGAAAAGTGAGCGCGGAGTTTAGGGGATTTTAATGGTAGGGGGAAACTTTTTGACTTGGGAGGTGGGAGTGTGTGAATGCATGTTGTGTATCTCATGGGGGAAGGAGGTGTATTTCTTTTACTTTGTTTGTTGTAATGAGAAGAATGGCTGAAAGTGGCTGCTTATTACTACAGCCCGCAGCTTTGCTTATTACTATAAATGTCCTTATATATTTAGACAGCTGACATGAAATTATTCCTGTTAACCCACTCTGCCTCCTTACAAGATAAACTCGACAACTTCCAAAAATATATTATCAAATATACAACATTTGAAATTAATGCAGTAACCACACCCATAAATGGTTAAAACTTTTGCACTTACCCATAAATCTATGGGCAATTTAACCAATACAAAAAAGTCAATTAAAGTAATATTACCTTTTAAAATGATATGAAACTCGAGAGGATTCCATCCAACAACCCTCCGAACTTTAAATCTATAAATTAACCCTAGAATACATACCTAAAATGTTGCAACAGCTCAATTGAAAAATTGTAACTCTCTGTGAAAGGTCTTTTATAACACAACCATACTTGAAATCATTTGATGTCCCGTCTGTGCGTAACAATTTAATGGAATAAGTGCTCCCATTAACAAGTCTTCAGTTTCAGGTTTGTGTACATATTCTCCTCAATAAAACCTCATCTCTTTAATCTCTGTACATACATGTGCCAAATATCTCTCTTTTTCTCTTTTTATATTCTCACTTTTCACCTCCAATGGACATGGAGAATCATATAGTGCACACTATCTTTGCTGGTCTTGGTTTCCACATCTTCAACAACATGGTCATTTCTTAACTTTTGACAATTCAAACATGTATTTCATGGACTCTTGAGTGAACCTTTATTTTATGAATCCATGAATTTCATCCAAATTTACTTGAAAAACTATCCCAAATGAATACTTATTGACATGATTCTGATTTTGTGCTTCATGAATTATAGATTTTGTTGATCTTCTTTCAAACATATTGCAAAACTTTCAATCATGTCCATATGTATTTTAGCTCTAAGGCAATCACAAACTTAACAAAACTAATCTAATTCATTCAACTCAATGAGAATATATGCAATCAAATGATAGAAATCATACGCTCAAATTACTTGAATAAAAATCAAGCAAGGAAACAAAAGAAGTTACCATCAAAAACATTTTTTTTCTCCTGATCTTAATACCAAACAATCTACATAAATGACTATTTAATAACTTCAAAATATATTATAATTATTTGTAAATAGACAAAGTATTATTATTATATTTTGTTGTGCAAAAATTGAAATTCATGTGGCAACCTATGAATGATAATTTACAGTTGGCCATAAATCTACGTGTAATTTAATCAATACAAACGAGGAAATAAAGTAGTTCTAATTTTTCATCGCTCAAGAACCAAAAGTGTTTGAAACTGCTCATAATTTCTATTTAAAATCAGTAAGGTCTAATGCCCTCAAAATTGGACACAGATTTGGAACGATAGAACACTTACTACAACAACACACGCTATTCCTCTATCTCTCCCAACCATTATTTCATATCTTAAAAATCACTCTTATATGTATTTGACATCTCTTCTTTACTTGCAAAACTATTTGCAAGCCCCAACAGTACCCATCTGTAAATCCCCTTTAAAATGGAGACAGGATTTATGTTCTCCCGATTGTGTGGGTAAAGGGCTTAAATCAATTGTATACCCCATTTGTTGTTGAAGGTTTAGATCGAAGTGAGCTTAACTCACTTAATCCAGAATATCATACCAATAAGCTTCCTAATCCATAAACTTCGTAGTGTTGTCAGAGAACTTATATCCTAATCCATAAGACAATTTGTTTAACTAGAAGAGGGAGTCAAACATCACATGACTTGCAGGTTGTATTATCCTTCCTTTTCATGAATGGGTCTGCTTCCAAATTTGTGAAGCTTTGTTTGTATTTAGTTGTTTGACGGAACTTTTTCAAGTTTTACCCAACGTTTAGCTGCATTTCCAATATCATTCACTCTCTTAGAAGCATTGTTTTAGAACTCGATAATTTGGAAATCCCATTAACTTCTGAACCATATTGCTGAAAACATCATTTAATCAATAAACATTTCAATTTCCTTCGTTCCCGTCACTTTACTTCCTAAATATATTACAATCACCTAAGTTTTTGTCAAACTCAGCCAAGATGATCCTTCCGATTTAGGCATTTTGAAAGAATTGTTAAACCAAACATGGAAGAAAAGAAAAAAAAAGAAGATCGAGGAAGAGAAATATGAGATGGAATCAGTAGACAAAATGGGATAAATTAAACCCATCATCTGTGGATACCATTCCTACGGTTGTCTGGCCGCTGCCTGATCGCCCAAACACCTTCTTTTCCGGAAAATTTTACTTTTCCGAGAAAATCAAGAGAGAGAGCGATCAGGCTTTCTTTATAGCATCCATTGTTCTATGAGAAAACCCACAAAGAAAAGCTCGTTTCCTCACAAACAACACAACGAATGCCAACGAATGAAAATCATCAAACAGAAACATGCCAATCAGATAATGCTTGGGGCTCATATCAAGTGTATAGAAATTTAAAAGAACCCGTCACTGTGAGAGAAAACCCTAATTCAGAAAATCGCAAGAAAACAGATGCAAAGGAAGCTATACAGAAGATAGAAGATACCAAAGCCGCCATAGGAAGACGGCGGCACCTTAAATCAATCTACTCCTCCATCGATCGCTTTTCTTGTAAAAATCGAACAGGGTTTTCGATTCAAATCCCACTCGAGCCTCTCTCTTTCTAATCATAGCCCACATTTGAGAAAAAACAGAGAGCTGTGAACTCGAATCTCGGCCGATTAGGGCAAGCAATTCGAAGAAATTGCGATTACGAGAGGGGAAAACGAGACGAGTACAGAGAAGCGGCAAAACTGATCTTAAATAGGAGACTTTTGGGCTTAAATTCAAGTGCTAGGGTTTCCCTCTCTCTTGAGGCACGTATAATTTGACGACATGTCGAACCACATGGATTGGACTCGTTCAAATTTTAACGGGACGACCGGACGACAAGGTCCAGATTCTTTTATTTTATTTTATTTTTTTTTCATCCCTACGGTTATTTCAAATTAAATTTAAATGGCCAAAAAATGAATAAATAAAACATACCTTATTTTCCCATAAAACTTTTTTTTTTTTAATAAATTATTTCACATTCAAATTTTTTTTTAAAAAAAACAAGAGAATAAATTATTTTAGTCGTATAGAAAAATATTTTAAAATTATCTATATTTTTAATTAAACCATTTTTTTTTATAAATATATTGAAATAATAAGAATCCAAGCAATTCAAAGATACTCAATTTGATAAAATTAAAATTTTAATATAAAATAAATACAGTAATAAAAATATACAAATAAATAAAGACATGATGATACTTGACAGCTAACATTTTTCTTTCTAAAAAACAACATTGAAACATCCACAAGTTTTGGTTAACAAATCACTGAGCTGTTACCGTTTACTGCTGGGAACAGAGGGGTTCCCCAAGAAGTTCACTATCCTGTTCAACAAATTCAACCCAAATACAGTTTCTTCACAATTGACCTTCACAGTTACGTGTAGAGGTTCTGAGCATTTTCCTTCGATAGTCAGCGAAATCAAGCAGGGGATCGAGTTGCTCAGAAGCTCTGCGCTGAATCGTAGGCACAGACCGGTTGCGTCGTCGAGAAAGTTAGCCACAGGGAGTTCCATGGTTACTAGAAAAAGGTTTGCATTGCTGAGCATCTTCAATGCTAAGCTCTTGCAGATGAGAAGGAATTTATCTTCTTCTATTGGACTGTCGTTCTTTTCATCGTTAAGCTTCCCAAGGTGGTCAGTGAATGTGCATCTGATGAACCCAAAACAACCAGAGTTAGAACACCAAAGATGTGGCAGTTTTTGTTCTCTTGAATATGTTAGAGCCATATTACATACAAAATTGACTGTTCAAAAGACTATTAGACACTTTTTAAAGTTCGGAAACATTTTTTGTAACGGCCTAAGCCCACCGCAAGGAGATATTGTTCTCTTTGGGCTTTCCCTCAAGATTTTTAAAATGCGTCTACTAGGGAGAGGCTTCCACGACCTTATAAAGGGTGGTTCGTTCTCCTCCCCAACCGATACAGGATCTCACAATCCACCCCTTTTGGGGCCAGCATCCTCGCTGACACTTGTTTCCTTCTCCAATCGATCTGGGACCCCCAATCTACCTCCCTTCGGGGCCTAGCGTCCTTGTTGGCACACCGCCTCGTGTCCACCCCCTTCGGGGCTCAGCCTCCTCACTGACACATCGCCCAGTGTCTGGCTCTGATACCATTTGTAATGGCCGAAACCCACCGCTAGTAGATATTGTCCTTTTTGGGTTTTCCCTTACAGGCTTCCCCTCAAGGTTTTTAAAATGCGTCTACTAGGGAGAGGTTTCCACACCCTTATAAAAGGTGTTTCGTTCTCCTCCCCAATCGATGTGGGATCTCACATTTTTACAGAAATTTGAACATGAAAGGTCAACTATAACTTATAACTAAAAATTATAAATAATAAAAAAAGGCGACCTACAAGTTCTTTTGTCCACATCTAATCGGGAGTAAAAATCTCTGAGGTGGGCATCAAAGTTGCATGAAGTTTAAGAACACAGGGAAATAATCGTAGAGCATAAAAATATACAAATATTCTGTTGCTTATGGTGAATGAAAGGCGGTAGGGATCTACTAACCTCCTCATGTATTCAAACATTCCCGGTAGCTGAGACTCCTTAGCTGTGAAGGCTTCGATGTCCATAGGAAGTGGTCTCACAAAATATCCAATGTCGGGGTGTAGATTAACAGGATGCTTCCTGCCATTGCAGTACAAATTTAACTTCATAGGCAAGAGGTGATGACTGAACTGAACCTCAAGAACTCTATCGATCGTATGATCCGGTCCCAGAGATGAAATGTTTTCCATGGAAACTGGTGGCGTTACACTGTTATTAGATGGAGAGGAGCTGCAGAATCAACCAAATTAAAAGAAGTTAGCCGCTAAATAGGAAGCTAAAAGAATTAAGAGCCTCACTACTACTATAAGGTATACATGTACGCCCTACGAAACGCCTAAATCCATCCATGCCCAACTAAATCTCACCTCTCAGTTCCGACTGCAACTTCGTCTTTTGAATCTACAACTTTGCCCGATTCCTCATGAGCCAACATAATTTCAGTCATGGGCTCAGTAGAACAGTTCTTGAAAGATGCTTCTATACAAACATGAAGAGGAGATATGCTTGAAGTCTGTGACGAAAATGAGTATTCCACCTTCAAGCCATTTCCTTTAGCAGGATCCAGGAGTGGATAGCTTTTACGTGTTACATGTTTCCCAAGATCACCTATAGATATTCTAGCAAAGGATCTTCGATCTTCAGGCTTCTCAGAGGTACTTAGACTTGCTACATTTGGCTGTTCATTCAACCATGATTCTAGGGCATTCTTTGACATCAATTCATCCAACTCTGTAGAACCAGAGGGAGAGGCTCCATTCTGCATTTTATGAGAATTTTCATGATCAGAAAGTTCAATTAGAGGATCAGCATCATCATTTTCTTGTTGATTTTTTGCCCCATAGCTTTCATCTCTACTACTAGAACCACTGGAAGAATGCTGAGAATTGTAATCAGAAGCACTCTCCTCGTCAAAGGTTCCAGACGATGACTCTGCATTATCCGTCTCGTATGAACCACTCTCAGCTGCTCCATCACCTGATGCACTTGCAGCTTCACCCAAAGTGCATGGTTTTGGAAGAGGTTCATAACCAGGAGCAGCATGAAAAACTATTTGTGAAAGAGATCCTGGAAGATAAAAGCGGTAATTGATAGGTTCGGGTTGTATTGCTTTTAGCTGTCCTCCAAAAATGCGCTCCGCAAGTTCCAAAGACTGATCCCTAGGCTTAGATAGACTCTCTTCAGGAGCTTCAATATCCAAATGAGATGACAGGAGCTTCTGAATAAAGACAGCTCGGTCACGAAGGTCATAATTCAAATCACATTTTCCCACTTCAAGAATATAGCCTAAAATTACTTTAAATGTTAGCATATCTTCCCCCTTTGCTCGCAATAAGACCTACAGCAAAAGCAGAATGAGTTTAAAAAGATATTGAGTAAACAGTATTAACTAGTTATGACGAATTATTAACAGTAGATCAAAAATATTTATCTAACATTTTCATACATCTTATTCTCAAATAAACCTTGAATTAATTGAACTCAAAATGTTAAGAGTGACTAATTAAAATATCTGTAAACTCGAGAATAAAATAATCGAACCCAAAGATCTGCAATTGCCAAATGCAGTTTCTTAAAATACCTTAACCATTGCATTCAGTATCTGAAACTTCGTTTCCAATGCTTCTGAAATAAACGACCTTGCAAGATACTTGGCAACGACAACCAACATCCTAGGAATAATATCCCCTAAGGTGCTATGCTCCCCTACCATCCAAATAATCATGGAACGGGCTGCAGGAACCTTGACTGAATCTAAACCACGAATCAACTGAATAATAACCTGTAAATTGTGTAAAGAAGTACTTGAAAACCAGATTTTAAACAATATATTAAGCATTTTTAAGGAAGGTAAATATGCATTGCGGCTGAACCAAACAGTTGAGAGATAGGAAATAGATACTTGAGAAAAGTTTGAAGTGCATCTACATGCTTGAAACAATGAACAGGGATTTCAAGCTCATCCACATGCAAATTGAATAAATTTTCCAATCTAACATTCATGCAAAGAGCAATGATATATTCAATCATTTAATATAAATGTGTCAACAATAATGAATAGACTGGTGCAAGGAAGAAACACCACAGAGTGATATTTCTAACCTAAAAGAGTTAACACTTGCGTGACCAAGGATGTAACTGAATTTAACATGAACCACAAAATTTTGGGGCTAAATTATAAATAATACGTCAATTGATAATATTTTTCAGATAAATGAGAGTCGAGAAAAGTAGAAGCTAGTCTAACTGCCTTATGCAACCAACAAGGGATTAAAACTCATCAAAGTGAAAAGACACATAGAAAATGTTTAATCAAGCCATTATTCTTGAAAAGATGAATTAAATATTAAATCATACATCTAGAATCACTATCAGATTATAAACTCAACGAAATGAAGAACCAGCCAAACATATGATGATAATCAATAGACTAGTGTATGGGAGCAATACAACAAAGTAACACTTAAAACCAAAAAGAAAAAATAAAATAGAAATATCAGCATGTCACTATCATGGATATTGCTATTAAGAAGAAACTATACAAATGAAAACCTTTATATAAAAATTAAATGCTGCTTAAGCTCAACAATTTAAGTTCATAGCATGAGATGGGATAGCTACTAAAGATTAAACTCTAGACAGGGATGTGTAAAGGTTATAGATGAAAAGAGGTAGATAATAATGCCTTCTCGTGGCTAGCTGGATCTTCCTTTATAATAAACTTGATGGATGTGATTGCCTGAGTCAGTACAGCTGCCTCTTCATCCGTTTCATTGTCACAAGCCGATGTTTCTGCAATTTTTAATTTTCGAGTTGGAAAGGAAAAAAAAAAAAAAAAAAACTCCTTAAAGGAATACTTTGCAAGCACAAATCACACACCCTTTCTTACTAAAGACAATAGCCAATTCAAACACGTGTTGGCTATTTTTGGGAGACGCCCGGCACATAAGCCAATTGCAGCAACCGTATCAGCTGCAAATCTTCTGTTTGGGTTTCTAATGTAATCCTAGAAAAAACAAGGAAAACTAAGTAAGCATATAAGACCTGGAGTCTAATGCAACCAAGAAAATAGTATGCAATAGAGTCAACTAAAGTTTATTTAGGTTCATTTATGAGGAAGCAGAAACATGAAAAATGATGATTACTAATTCAAAAGGAGCTATCACTCCATATCATCTCCGCTCACCCAACTTTCTCACTCCACATAACAAAAAACAAAAGAAAACAGTGGGAAAACAAGGGGGAATACAGAATGCTACCTGAAACTCATTAAAAATTGATAAAACAGATGAATCGGTAGCAATGGATGAAAGAATCTCAAGCTTCAATGCTTTTACTTGATATGAATCAGAAGAACAGATGAAAAAGTCTTCATAGTGAGGAGCAAAGAGATAAGGCATTGCCTTAGCAAACACTTGAATATTGCAGAGAACCTGTGGAAGTCAATTGAGATTTCTTACAATCTAAAAACAGAAAACTACTGGATGATAAAAAAACGCAAAATAAATAACACACACAGAAACGAAATTGGATTTGAAAAAAATGGCCTTGATTAATTGAACTGTATGTAAATTGTATCATAATTTGATATTTTCGATTTCTGATTTTCATAGATCTCGATATATTGCTGATGTTCATCTACCTTTTAAAATCCCTTTCAGCATGACAAATTGAAATGAAAATGATTTCCCCTGGAACCATCATCACAAAATTTCAACTTTCTCCCTAGCTTATTTAAACTTTTAACTTTATAATAATTCCAAATGAAAATCATGACTCTAAACCACAAAACATAACATATCTATCTCATTTATTGAAGGATTGTCCAAGCTTCTCTAAGTGAATCTATTAATATAAACCTTATTAGGAAAGGAAACCATTTATAATGTGTTGTCTCCAAATGAAATATAAGATATGGTAAATAATGTAATAAAATAAGAAAAATACCACATATTTTGCAGCATCACATGATCTGAGTAGAAACACTAATGGTTTGACAATTCTTTTTATGTTTTCCCTTGGAGACATAATCCAGTGTACGCCAGCAGCAGCAAGAACCACTGCACTATTGTTACTCCATAACAAAGGTGATGTACACTGCAATAAGATCCTGATATCATCATTCTCCTTACTAGACACAAAATGTCCATCATCCAATTTCGGAAAAACTTTGTTCGAATAACTTAATCGTGATAAATATTCATCTGGACCTTCAGTATAACATCTGGATATCATATTTGTTAACGCAGTATCACAAAAACCATTCATCTCACTATCTTCTTTGGCTGATGTAAAATTATTTGCAACGCCATTCTTTTCTGAACTTGAATCATCTACAGTATGCAGAGAATGCATAATGGATTCTCTAACAAGCCCAATACTTGCCACAACATAGCGCAGAAGGACTCCAATCAAGATTACTTGACCCCATTCCTCAACATCAGGTAAGACCTCACATAACCTTCGATAATTTCTTCCAATCAAAGTCAGATCATTTGGACAGATAGAAGCAAATGCAGCAGCAGCAGCACCAATGACACCAGGGGAGGAATCACTTAACAGTATCAGTACAATCTGCAAGAAAGCATGCCAAACTTAATTCAAGTACAGTAGCACACAGCAAAAATAACAACCTTCTGTGGAATGAGAATACTGAATACGAGTTGAGTGAGCAAAGAATCAGACAACGGACTAAACATAATATACACTTCCCCATCTATTTGACCTTCCACCAATAAGCATCCATGATCTAATAACGGCACGTTGTCAAGTCAAGACAAGAATCAAGCAAACCTCTTTAATAGCCGAGGCATTTTCTTCAAGGTGCAAATCATGAAGCTTTGGAAGAGCATTGGCTGCACATTTTCTGACATACACAGACGGGTCCCTGGCACATTTCCTCACTGCCACAAGAGCAAGAGGTGCAATGTCATGCAGACGAATTCCTGCCATTGTCCGCAATGCCCATGCCCTCACAAGAGGATTTGTATCCCCTAAATCCTTCTGGAAACAATTGATAGACAGCAACGCTTCATTTGGATGCCTAAAGTGCAAAACATAACTTACTGTAAATGTAACATAAATTGTCACACCTTAAGCATTACAAATCAGAACTCAAGAGCAGCTCACGATGAGCGAACTTAGCCCGTACGACGATGCTAAGATGATAGCATTATAAGCCAAGATCGACCACAATGCAACCATTACTTAGATGACATAACAAAGAGAGCTAATTATGATTCAGAAACTAAAATGCGAAAATACCATACTTTTCAGCATAATGCAACAGGAACAAGTAAGCCAGCTTCTTCACCTCCAATGTCTGAGATGCAACATTCTTGACAACCTGAAGTTCCATTTCAACTAAAAGCATTCAGAACACACAACCACTAAGACCTCCACAGCTCAGTGAATTCACTGACACCGAATTTCCAGCAATTGAGATTGAATACAATTAACCATTATAGGAAATTATATAAATAAACTTGGTATTTCATGAAACATAACCTGAGGAAAAAAGTTGGACACATCAAAACCCTGAGCAATGAGAGCGAGTAAGCGTTTGAGTGCCTCGCATTTCTCGGAGTCAAACTTGCTGTCGAGTAAGGGAGCGATGTTGACATCCTCGGGATCGTCGTAGAGGTGAGCGTCTGTGCCGATCCGAAACATCATGGTCGAAGCTTTACTCAGTGTATCGGAGGTTGATCCAAATTGAGTGAACATTTCTAGATTCGAATTCCAGCTTCTGAATTGTAAGGTTCGTGAAGAAAAACTTATTCAATATCACGAAGCTCGATTGAAATTCTAGCCGGCGATGGCAGTTAATCCCGGTCAGATTGGATGGATCGAAGAACGGATTCTATTGCCGCGCCATTTCGCTGTGTTTGTCGGAGAGAACGACGGAGGCCAGCTGATATTTTCTTTTTTTATTAAAATAAAAAATCATTAATATTATTTATAAATATATTACAAATTTCTGATTGCGCTGAATTAATAAATAAAAATATCTATAAATTTCTTAAATAGAAATATCCAATAATAATGGAGTTGAACGGTTACAAATGGTGTTATGGTCAAGGTTAGACATCGAGCTGTACAAGCAAGGATACTGGGTCCAAGAGGTAGATTATGAAATTGATTGGAGAGAGGAGCGAAATATCCCTTATAAGAGTGTGTCTGCCTCTAAATGTGTTTTAAAATTTCGAGATGACAATATCCGGTGATATATATTTTTATAATTAAAAAATTATGTAGCGTTTATGAAAGGTAATTAATAAGATACACTTATTTTTGTGTAAGTATATATTTATTTATTTTATTTGTATTAGATTAAAACTACGAATATAAATTTTTAAAATAGATATTTTAATTAGTTGAGTTATAAATTTATTTATAAAAAATATTTTTGAAAAAAATTATTTAATTTGAGAAATATCCAATATATGAAATCCAACATTTTGATAGAATATAGATAATGTGGAGAAATATTTAAGCAGTAATTAAGAGAGAATTATTGAAATTATTAAATTGCATAATATTGGGAGGCGCCAAATCCTAAGCATGGCTCGCCGCCATTTGGGGAGGCTCAGAAGTCAATAAGCTAAATTTGTTGGTGAAGCTCACAAGCTTCAGCCATGGAGATTAACGCTTTCGGAGTGCTTGAGCCTCTAATGATTCCATCAACGCGCTCACACGCGCTACGATTTTCGTCAGATTTTGGTCTGAGCCTTAGCGAGCGTACCCAGCGCAGGCCCCAATTCGACTTTCTCGCATTTCCACGGCGACTCACTTTTCCATTGTCGAGAACAGACTCGGTCCTCACTCCAACCCTGAGTCTTTGATTTCCTCTCAATTCGCGAATTCACTTCCCCTTTCTCTCATCAGACGCCTTTGGATTCTGCGATTCTTGTCAGGTGATCTATGTTGTGTTTTTGCTTCTTACCGGTGTTCTTTTCCGTTTGAATTGAGGTAGTCCAGATTTATCTGGATCATTTCATGCATGATTTTGGTTCTGTTGCATGAATTCAACTACATTGCATTTCTCTTTTGAGCTGAGGCCTTGCGGTTCTTGTGTACTCCGATGTTTGACATTTAGCTTGGAATTCATCGTTCTTGTTCTTTTTGACTGATCGGGCTCTACTGTTCATGTTTAGATGTCATTCATGGGTTTTCTTTTCCTCCTTTCATGTGGAAGTGTATGCTTAGTTAAGGAGCTACGGATTTTTGAGCAGCTGTTTGTTAGATTTCTTTACTTATCTATGGGTTTCAGGATGGCTTTCGTTGGGTTAGGGGTTGGTGCTGGACACTTGAATGCTATAATCTGTAAAGCATCAAGTACATATAAATATGAATCTAACTTGAGGTATTCTTCTCTAGGTGCTCTACATCTAGTTTTATGGGAAGTTCCTCATCTGACGATTCTGATGTGGACACTGATATCAGTGAATCTGAATTGGATGAGCGGGAGAGCAAGTCCTATCAAGAACTTAAAAATGGAGAACGCATTGTAAAACTCTCGCATGAGACATTTACTTGCCCCTACTGCTCGAGAAAAAGAAAGAGGGATTTCTTATATAAGGATCTCCTGCAGCATGCTTCTGGGGTAGGCAACAGCCCTTCAAATAAACGGAGTGCCAAAGAGAAAGCTAATCATTTAGCTTTAGTGAAATATTTGGAAAAAGATCTAGCTGATGCTGTTGGTCCATCAAAACCTGCAAGCAATAATGATCCTGTTATGGATTGCGATCATGATGAAAAGTTTGTGTGGCCATGGAGAGGAATTGTGGTAAACCTTCCAACTAGGCGTACAGATGATGGGCGATATGTGGGAGAAAGTGGATCAAAGTTTAGGGATGAGTTGAAAGAAAGAGGATTTAATCCCACAAGAGTTACTCCCTTGTGGAATTACCGGGGTCACTCCGGTTGTGCTATCGTGGAATTTAATAAAGATTGGCCCGGTTTGCATAATGCTATTTCTTTTGAGAGGGCTTATGAGGCAGATCACCATGGAAAAAAGGATTGGCTGGCTAATGGTACTGAGAAACTAGGAGTTTATGCCTGGGTTGCTCGTGCTGATGATTACAACTCGAGTAATATAATCGGGGAACATTTGCGCAAGATTGGAGACCTGAAGACCGTATCTGAAATTATTGAGGAGGAAGCACGGAAGCAGGATAGACTTGTGTCAAATCTTACAAGTATCATCGAGCTCAAGAACAAACATTTGAGAGAGATGGAGGAAAGATGTAGTGAAACTGCCACCACTCTTAACAATTTGATGGTGGAGAGAGATAAATTACTTCAAGCTTATAACGAAGGTTTCTTATATAGAGCTTGAAAATTTTCTTTCTTGCACTTCAAAACCAGGAAATCTGTTCCATGTCATTGCAGATTACTTTTTCTTTCATGGACTTTCATGTTGTATCGATAAATTCATATAACGTTTGTCACATCTACAGAGATAAAAAAAATCCAATTGGGTGCAAGGGATCACCTTAAGAAGATCTTCAGTGATCATGAAAAACTAAAGTTGCAACTAGAATCTCAGAAAAAAGAGTTCGAGTTAAGAGGAAGAGAACTGGAGAAGCGTGAAGCACAGAACGAAAATGAGAGCAAGTATCTGGCTGAAGAGATTGAGAAGGTACACTTTTTTTTTTCTTTCCCAGGAATTAAGAGATGCAGAAATTACGAAAAGATAAGTTGCATTCTACTGCACCTGAACTTTGGGTTTCAAAACAGCATATTTTAAAAAAAAGATCAATACTCGTCACCTTTTTCCTTTATTGTTTGCAAGTTTATTTTTTAAGAATTGTTTTCAATCACAAACAATGTTGTAAGGCATAATCTTTGTTGCACACTATAGTCTTAGCATTTTGAGATGTGTTGCGTCTAAATCTTGGCAAATCGTGGAAATGTTTCTACTTCCTTGCTCGTACTTATTTCTTCACCCATTCGACCTATAAAAGGCATTTGGCTCACGAGTTGGATTTGTATTGCATGGAGTTTGAAATTCGGTAGGTCAGTTTACTGATTCTTGGCCATAAGTTTGCAAATCTCTTGGGTCATATGCTTTTAGGCATCTAATGTCCTCCTCTTGTGCTACATGCTTACTCAGAAATCACAAATTTATGAATCAGACACAAACAACGTAAAGTTTAGGTTCATTTGATTTATATTCTTTTTTTACTGTCAGTATGAGGTGAGAAATAGTTCTCTTCAATTGGCTGAATTAGAGCAACAGAAGGCTGATGAAGATTTTATGAAGCTTGCAGATGATCAGAAGGTTTGTTGGCACATGTGCTTGATTAATTATCCAAATATTTCTTTATCAAATCTTGAGAGCAGGGTGTACTTATTTGTGATTTCTAATGATTCAGAAACAAAAGGAGGACCTCCATAATAGAATAATCCGACTGGAAAAGCAACTGGATACCAAGCAAGCATTAGAGCTGGAAATTGAGCGTCTACGTGGGTCGTTGAATATTATGAAGCACATGGGAGATGATGAGGATGTGGAAGTCCTCCAGAAGGCAGAGACAATACTAAAAAGTTTGAGTGAAAAGGAAGGAGATCTTGAAGCTCTTGATGAACTTAACCAAACATTGATAGTAAAGCAGCGTAAGAGTAACGACGAACTCCAAGAAGCCCGTAAGGAGATAGTGAATGTAAGAATATTTTCTTATTGCAAATAACTTTCTTAGTCATTTAAACAAGATAAAAAATTCAAGATTTTGTTCTAGTCTAAAACAAACTCCTCACACTGTTTAATTCTCTCATTTCTTAGGCTTTTAAAGATTTGCCTGGTCGTTCCCACTTGCGTGTTAAGAGAATGGGTGAACTAGATACAAAACCATTCCATGAAGCAGCGAAGAAAAGATATAATGAGGATGAAGCAGATGAAAGAGCTTCAGAGTTGTGCTCATTGTGGGCAGAATATCTCAAGGACCCAGATTGGCATCCTTTCAAAGTAATTAAGGAAGAAGGACGGGATAATGAAGAAGGAAAGGTGATTCTTTTGCTACCTTCTTTCATCAGTTTAGCTTCTTGCAACTAAGAAATGTTGGCATTTTTTGTCTTTAGAAAATGAGATTATGTTTAAGCACTTCAAGTTTCTTGTCCCATTACTAAATTGTTTCTTGTTTGTAAACATTCTTGAGTTTGTATTTTTATTTTTGGCTCACTGGGACGATTCGATACTCTTTTGAATTTTAGAGGCATTCTCGAGCTACATAAGTTTTTGTTACCTGAAGGCCCTTTAGATATTTATATTTAACTCTTATGATGATGATTTAGGAAATTGAAGTTTTGGATGATGGAGATGAGAAACTGCAAGATCTGAAAAATGAGTGGGGGGAGGAAGTGTTCAAGGCTGTGACAGCAGCTTTAAGGGAGATAAATGAATATAATCCAAGTGGAAGGTATATAGTTTCGGAGCTATGGAACTACCAAGAGGACAGGAAAGCAACGTTGCGAGAGGGAGTGAAATTCTTACTGAACAAGTTGAAAAGAAGCAACTAGAAAAGGGAACTCCCCGAAGGTTGGTATTCGTTGTTGTGGTTGATAAACCTTTCTGGCTTTTTGACTGGAAATAAGAACAAAAATTCAGATTAGAGCTTGAGCTTGAATCTTCTTAAAGTAACTTGCTCGTCTGTTGATTTGATCATTTTGTCAATAACATTTGATTTGTTGAACTGCTGCAGCTGCCATGATGATCAAACCAACATATCATTGTCTTGAAACAAAGCGCAACAATGTTCTACACTTTAGATGAAGTATCACCAGGAGATGGAATGTGAACCATTACGTTATGTCAGTGCATGTTTTCAAGTCAGTCATTCCTTTCCTTCGTACCAATTATTTCCAGATTATGAAGATTCAGATACTGCTGACTTGCTTATCTATTATCATTTACCCA